GTACGTCGCATATTTCTCTATCGCTCCGACCAAGTTGCGAAAGCAAGACAGTTGAAGTCTAAAATTTTTGCTGTTTAATTGTGAAAATAATTAATAAACCAAATGTTCACAGACTAAGAGACTTTGATTATAGCACCATCCTTGGTACATCTGACGAGGCTTTGAATAAAACGAGCAAACATCAGAAATAAAAATAACAGCCGAGACGTATGCTCGAAAAGTAAACTCTCTCTCTGACAATACAAAGCGGCATCACCAGAAAGGAAATTTTATAGCAAAGATAAAAGTAAAAAGAAGGTGATTGTAGTAAATCTGAGTAGCTTGGGAAATATTCCCGGAGTTGTTCCATCAGGACGCGTATATACATATATAGATATATATTAGGCATTGGGATGGGTTTGAGGATAACACAAGGTTATGTAGAACAGGGAGAAAGAGATGCAACAACGGCTAGAAAGAAAATTAGTTAAGAGCCTTCATTTTAGCGGGTTGTAACTAGGTGCTAAATAAAGTTCCTCTCACTGACGATGTCTGAGAAACGTCTGGAAAAGTACCAAGTCAACGATGCGATTTAGTTTTACGATCACACCAGATTGGAAAAACGAGGTCAAATCAATAGGATACAGCAAAAGGGACAGCGACCAAATATAAAGCTACACCATCACGGTCTCTACGATCGAAATAGGTTACTATAACAAACAATCTAAGGATTTAATTAATGAACAAATAGGAGACTGATCAAGAAGTCGAGCCCAAGTACATTTAAACAGAGATAAGGTTAGGAAGCATGCTATAGGCCTAAATGTAGGCATAACGCAAATCAGCTATGGTGTATACAATAGTCTTAAAAGTGCAATGCATAAGAATCAAATAAAGCAGGATATATATATATATGCGTGATGTTAAGCAAAATACCTAATTAGGAAAATATAAAAATACACGCGCTACTAGCAAGACAATAACATAAAAACGAGTGAACAATGGCAGGGTAGGAGTAAAGCATTGTATCTTACCTCGTAACTTGACCATAATTGCTCGAGAACAAGTTGGACAAAAATGGGTTTTTTCCCTTTAGAGCGTGCACCATTCTTGATAACATGTACTTCCGAGCCACTTTGTTCTCCCCCAGAAAGATCTTTTGATGTAACTCCAGACTTTTCAGATGTAAGATACCAATCACCCCAAAGAGCAAGCTTCAATTCTTCTAATTGTATTCCAAGACGATCAGCCCATATACGAGCGAAGTCAACCAACCGGAATCCCCAAGTGTCTATAGCTGACGAAAAAATGACATTGCCACGACTAGGGTTGAAATATAAGTCAGAGTCAACGGTTTTTTCCGAAGAAGCCACCCAGTCATAAACCAACAGTGGCTTCTCTATGCTACTAAAATCCTCAGGTATAACAGAACTAATATTAGACATTTGAGTATTTTTATTTGCATCAGGCCGAATCTTTAAAAAAAATTTACGAGTTATGGGTGTATAAAAAGCAATGTAAAACTTTGAATAAAAAACCTACTTTGTGCTGCGCCCTATAATAATTCTTTTGCAATATCTCGGCTGCAAACATTTCAGCAAGGATGGAATTGACTTGCTCGACTGTCTGTAAAAGCCTATCATAAGCCTGTAGAGGAGAAAGCTTCAGTTCTGTAACTAAACGATCTAATTTATTTAGGACCAAGATAAGACATAGCTTTTCATCCCATGCTTGGCGGAGAACTGTGCGTGTCTGAAAGGAAGAAAATTATATTATCGAACTGAACTTGTGGGCACACGCCTTCTACAACATCAACTACAATTATCGCTCCATCACAAAGTCGAACAG